AGGAGAAAGCAATTCAATAAATGATTTAATTTACCTGGACTAATTCCCGTCCCTAGTGAAACAATTTTGTGATCATTGGAAAAAATCAATACCGTTGCTTTACTTTGCACACTTTCAGCATGCTTTAACACAGAGCCGATCGTCACACAACGGCGCCTGCCGCCCAACCTCTTCTATCTTATCGAATAAGAATAAATAAGTTAAATTTGTTTCTATAAGCAAATTTTAATTTTAATTTTAAAAAATAATATTTATTACTTCTATTTCCTTTTATAATTTTTTGGATTTTAAAGATTTGTACTTCTTTAAATGTTTAAAAATAATGAAAGTTTCAGCTAATACTGAATATCATAGAACATTCAGTGTACCAATATTTCTGTTCAATAAAGGCAATTGAATAAATAGCTTGTTCATGCATTGAACTGGAAATCCTAATGCCCATTTCTGTGTCAAAGATGTTATTGGGAATGATATTGTAACTGGAATCACTAATTAAAAAAAAAAAAAAAAAAAAAAAAAAGAAAGAAAGAAATAACTAAATGGAAAGTAAATATTATCAGTGAGATTTATACTTTAAGTTGTATTTTGTATAAATTCTTGACTGGACCTTAATTACAGACAGGCCTTAATTTTAAACCTCAATTTTGTGATTAAAAATATTTGTATTAAATTTTATTCCTTAATCCATACTTGGCCAATAAAATCTTTGAATACCTTACCTGCATTTTATCTTATTATTTTTCTCCTTATTACACACTATTTTTTCTTTTCTTTTTTCCATAAAACTGTTATATTTAATAATAGAAACATTAAGTTTTCATTTTATATAAATACTGCAGTAATTTCCTGGTTATTAATAGTTCATTAAATTATTGTCACGTTTATTTCTACTCATGGCAAAAAATGTCTCTTACCACTATAATTTGTTTTTTACTATACCTCACTAACCTTGTTTGTATTAAATGATTTTAAAATAATGGGGCTTTCATGTAAACTTAGACATTTTCCCGACTTTTTCTCATTCTTCCACAACTTTCTTTTTTAATTCTTCCCTATTTCATATGAGTCGTTTTCTTACTCGGTAATTGATTTTATCCTATAACTGTTCTCTTGGAATTAGCTAGGGAGATTGAAATGAGGTTTTCAGGCCCCTCGATCTACTATTGTAAGTAAAAACCTTTACTGACTTTTAGGATAGTTGTCATGTTGTAACACAAATGGGAGGAGGGGCCGAGTTGGCTAATGTGTCTTGCAAAATATTTGCAATGCTGCCTGGCAACCTGATTACCTGAAGGCTTCTGGTATTAATCCCCCACACTATCCCCTGGCCAGGGAAAGCTCCCGAAAAGGTGAGGCAGGGAAGAAAAAAAAAATGTTCCTTCCAACCTTAATTTTTTCAACTTTTTAAAAAATTTCCTGTGAATATATTAATATTGATTTGTTTAATCATTAATTAATTTATTATTGTTATTTAATTTATTAGTTGATAAATTACCATTAGTTATGTGCAATTTATTTATCTTTTTACACTCTCATTTTATCAAATTTTTTTTTTCATCTCACACCTCATTCATGCAAAATTTTATTTTGTACATGTTTCACGATTGGCTTCATTCTTTCTGTGTTCAGTAATATTTTCAGATGAATCATAATCCAACGTTTTGGGCTCAATGGTTGACAAAAAGTGTGGCAAAAAAATAATAAATAAACGAAAATGAAAAATTTAAAGTTCGTTGTCAAACATAGAGTTTGTTATATTATGGTTTGGGGTGAATATTATAAATTGTAGATTGTGTGTTCACAGACTTTTTTTTGACCCAATGGACTTATTTTGTTTATCTAATTCATAAAATATTTTTAATATTGTATAGTTTATTAGGTAAATTAAAATTAAACCTTCATCTTTATCAAACCAAAATTCTTTTATAGTTATTCCTGGCAATAGTATTATTCATAATGTGAAATAAGCTTACTCATTCAATGTTTTGAAAAATTTAACTCTGTGAGTAAAAGTTCTAATAAAGAAAAATATTGTACCTTTGTAAATAACTTTATTTCATTCTTAGTTCTGACTTTTTTGTTTCATTTTTTCCTACGTCTTCTATGACTATGATGCCTATGAAACCAAAATATATAAATTTATTGTTTGTGATAAATAAAATTAAAATGGGAATGATATCACAGATACCATTTAATAATCTTTTTAATAATATTTAATACCTTATTACAAAGAAATAGTTATAGTCAAAAGTAGAAATTATGGTTATATTCTTCCTTTTACAAATATTTATCTTTCTAGAAAACAGTAGGATTTACATGTGTGGCAACCAATTGTTATAATAATTAATGTTGCCTTCACATTAATTAGTTGTTATTTATTTAATTCAATAACATATTCAACTAATTTCCTTTATGTGCATTTATAAATAATTGGGCTCTTGAAATTTCAAATATTCAACTACATTCATGATTAACATGAATATCTTTCACTTTCACTTACCCATGTATGAAATATATATTATTGGAAATTATTTTGATAAAGAAATATTGATGTATGTAAGCTATGATCTGTTGAATGTGAATACATGTATACACGCTGTGAGTCTGGAAGAGGGGGTCAAACTCCAGGAGAGAGTTACACCCAGGAAAGTAATTTTAAAAACATATGATTTTAAATATATAATTCTTATCTTATTTTCATTTGTTTAAATTTTATTCGTCAATTATAAATAAATAACATTTTACAAATAAACAATATTCCATACACCTAATAGCATTTCAGTTATTGAAGTCTTATTTTAAATATAAAACAATAAGAGGGTAACTGTCGTCCTTCGAAGACTAAGCCGAAAATAATTAGAAGCCAATGGTGGTATTTTTGAACATTCCATTCATTAATGTTTTATTTATTTATTTATTTTTTTTTTGGCATTACAGACCATGTAAAGCTTTTGCCGTATTACAAGCCTGCTCCATCTCTGCCTGTCTTGGGCTATTTCTTTCTATTTATCTCCAAACAGTTCTATTACTTCTTTGTTGATTCTATCTATCCATCTGCTTTTTGGGCTTCCATGTGGACTTTTGCCTTTTATTGGAGTATTCATTGTTACGTAGAGCCTTCCAGATGGATTGCTACGAGCTACATGCCCAACCTCCCTGACTTCATATCATGGGTTATTGATCGACCAGTTTCTATTAGCAGTTCTATATTGGTCTTTCTTCTCCATATGTTAGTACTCTGATCCCAGATCACTCCGGTTGTCGTGGAGAGTATTTTTCTCTCAAATCTTTCAATACTTTTTTACATTAATATATTAACATTCGTTAATTAGATTATTATAATTAGGTCTACCTCTACTTATGAAATTTTTTTATAGGATTTCAGTTTTGCGTATGGTTATATTGAAAACATGCATAAAAGTTTCCCTGCATATCTTTATGATACGCATCCATTCATTCCATCTGGCAATGAAAAACATTCCTTTGGTTGCCACCTGCTATCCTTTGTATCATCGTAATGACCAAGATGTTTTTTTTAAAAAAGAATAATGACTATCACACTCATCAAAAAATAGTTTAACTTAATATTGTATTTGAGAGCATAAAAATTGTGGAACAGAACTTTCCTCTATTTATGTGGAATTCAAACAAACGGAAACTTATACTAGCAACCAGGGTTTCCACTTTGGCAAAAAAATTCCCTTTTTAGGGAAATTCTGAGGTTAGAAGGGAAAAAAGGGAAACAACTTTTATCAATCAAAGCCTGATCTGAGAACAGTTCAATCTGTATTTTTAAAATAATATTATAAGTAAAACTAACATAAAACGATGGTTACATAGAATATTACGTATTATATTTTATATATTTGGCGGAAGTGATTTTTAAGTTTATTGCTAAGGGAAACAAAGGAAAAATCTAATTAATCATGAGGGAAATTTAAAAAAATATGGTGGAAACACTGAAATTGTATTGAAAAAAATAAAATAAAATTGAATATTTTGGGAAAGTTGAACTTTCATTTTCAGCAGTGTAAAATATAATGTTTTGGTAAAAACAGAAACAGATTTTTCAGTGAGTTTTAGAAAGTACCCAAATAATTTCTTTAATTTAACTACATCCTTTAGCGGAGATCAAATTATAATAATAGCATTAAAAATAGTATAAATCTGATAATGTTGTCAAATATTGAACATTATAAGTAAATCTTTTGTAACAACAAGGTCCAATAAACAGGTTTAATCAGAAGAGTCGGTCATAATTCACAGTATTCAGTAATATCATTGTGGCAGTTTGTTTTAGCTTAACTATCTGGCTGGCATATAACTCTCAGATCATCTTTGGACTTTTTCATACAACTATTTAATAGCTGTTACATTTAGCCCACACCTTAGGTTGCTGGAAATGGCATCTAGATCACATTTTCGAATTTAACTCAATTTTTTATTTTTGGCACTTAGCCCATTATTGATGTCCAGTCTTCAAATAATCTACAGATCGATTATTTACACGATATATTTAACTTTTGAAATTCTTGTTAAAAAATAGTTTCTGTAATTATAAAGTCACTTATGTCATTTCTGAAATTCAGTCAGTGTACAGTTTAAAGCTAATTGGTTGTGGTTAGAGTCAAGCAGTAGATACATTATAACTTTCATTTAATATTCATTTCTATACTCATTTAATATATATCACTTGTGAACAGAAGTTAAATGCAATTTTCTTGGATTTCAATTAATGTGTTTCTAACTTTATATTTTTTCTATGTGTCTGAAGAGCTAAGTAATAGGCTTACATAATGAAAAGTATCCCCTCTTTATAATAGCCAGATTACTATTTGATATACAGAGAGAAAATCAGTTTTTGAAACACTACTCAAAATTCATAAAATGGACTCTATGAAAAAAAAAAAACAGACTTTTCATCTCTGGTTTATTATTGAATTAGTTATTAGAAGCAATAATAGAAGCTGACTTAAAATAAATTATTAACATTTTGTTCATAAAGGAGTAGGAGTTAAAAGAACAGGTTCAACAAATCGAATCATATATTTTGAAATCATAAACTATAAATTTTTTAGAACTTAATTATTTAATTAAATTAACTTAAATTATCTATACTATTATATCGATAAATCACAATTTTTAATATGTACATATTAACATTATTTATTCACAAATAAAAAGGAAAATAAAAAGAAGTAAATAAATGTTATGTACACCATTTTACAAAAAGAAAAGTTGGTATTTTTTCAGTATGATGATCATCTTATATTTATCACTTTTATTCATTTGAAATAATTAATATAAACTACTAAGCAATAATAATAATAATTTATAAAAGAATCACATTTTTCGAATTAAAAATCACTATGTGTGCTCATTTTAGTGGGATTAATATTACTCTATAAACTTTTGGTAAGTAGTTGTGCTAATTTTATTTTTGCAATATATTTGTGCCTATTGATGTTCCTATAATTAAATTAATTGATTTGAAATTATTTAACTAAATGCTAAATAACAATAGTATTTTATTTTTAAGAATGTGTAAACGGTTTTAATTCTAAATTATTACTTCTATGCAGTCTTAATAATTGTATAGTGAATGGTATAGTTATTTTTATTTTTTATTGAAAGTGTTTTCTGATTGTTTTCCAAGAGATAGCAACTAAAAATAAGTTAATTGATTGAAATATATATACACACCATTAAGCCACAATTTATATCTTACATATTGAGTGATAATGTTCTATAAATGAAAAAGTAACAGATACCATATTGCACTACTTACATGTTATGTTATACTGAGCTTAATTCTTAGATACTACAATATACAACATTTTAATCCTTAATAAGTTGTACTTGAGACTGTAAACTTAAATCACATTTCTATATCTTAAAATTATAAATACTTTACCAGCCTATTATTTCAAGTCTTATGGCGGATAAATATACTTTTCTCCCGAGTTCAAACTACAAATAGTTTTTAATGACAGATATTAATATTTTAAGAATAATACTCTTAATTTTAACTAACATTGGATTACTTATTGTGAACAGTTTGAGTTATATAATTCAAGAAATACAACTGTGTTATCAAATCATTCAGGCTAATTTTTAACTTTATCTGAACTCGGCTATCACATTCTATTGGCTCATTCATTATTATATTGATTTAGTTTACTTTAAATGACTAGTTTCATAATATTTAGTTATTGGTACATTGGTGTACTGTTGGTTTATTAAATTTCTAAATCATTTATATAATTAATTAATGTCATATATTTAAAATTAATATTTTGAAGTGTTTATTATTCTTTATTGAAAATTCTAAATATATATTCACCACAACATAATTTATTGCTACATTTTTCATAAGTTTCAGTATTCTATAAACAACATTAAAAATATTTTACAGATAGCAATCAGATTACGTTTTAATGAAGATTTTATAACATATTTGTTAACAGTTTTAAGCAATACATATTAGACCATGTCTAAATATTAAGTATTTATTGATATAATTAATAAATCTTGAAACTTTTTGTACTAGTTATTTAACAGATATCTCATTCTTTTTTTATTTTTTCTAATAGCACCAACAACATTATGGAAAAACATTTTTACAATAGATTATCTTAGTTTAAGTTATCTTGATTTTTGTTTAAAGAGATAATTTGAGAGATACATCATTCTACTGGAAAAGAAGCACTAAGAAGGAATAATTTGTTTGTCAGATATGAAATCAATTAGCTGAATTTTTTTTGCAGCAATGAATAATATATGCATTTTTATCAAAAATATGTTCATTTTTCTTTTTTTGATAAAGTTTGGAGTAAATCCACTTCTCAAGTTTCATTTTATATTTTTAAAAATATAAATATAATGATATATTTATTCGTATAAATGCCACTCAACTAAGAAGTCATGATTATTTCTAAGAAACATAACTTTATTTTGTCTTTTTTTTTTTTAATATGTAAGATATGGATGCATTTTTTATAAATATTCTGAGTTTAAGTAGAAAACTACATCAGATATGTTGTAGTAAGTATGTTGTAATTTGTATTAAAAAAAGAAAGGATATTTGAAAGATTATATGAATGGACCACACTTTTATTTATGGAGTATTTTAAAATTTTTTTTGTATCTTTTAACTTCATAGAAGTGCTGGATGACTTAAAATTTTATCATAAGCTTACTTTTTCTGTTAATGTATTTTAGTAATTTAAGGCTCTAATTTTGATTTGATTGTAGCAAATAAAAGTTTCTCAAAATTACTGAAAAACTCCCAAGGAGAGAAATTGGATTTGTAGATGTATAACAAGTATTGGAATTATCTAATTTCTTATGGTGAAATTAAAAAATGTATATAAATTTTTCTGCATGCATGATTATATAATAAGAAATTGTATAGAGTATCTTTTTTATTTAAAATTAACAATAAAGATAAGAAACCAATTGAATGCATTGTGGATGCATGTTTGTAAAGCCTGGTTGGTTGAAATGAAGAAGATTTATACTATTCTGTTCAAAGTATTTTTTGAATATAAAATGTTGTATGACTAAAATCATTCATGTGTATTTTTTTGTACAATATTGATTGATATGTGTCGATGCACACATTACATACACTAATGTACGTTGATTTCTATGTACATTTCAAACATGAACATTTCTCACAAAGGAATGTATACTTTTTTCACATTATATGCTGTATAGCTCATAAAAAAATTAGTATGGAGTTATTAGTTGTTTTTCTAAAAGGTGCAAAATTTTAACTACTTAGTAGCATAATATGCTTTAAGTAATTTTATATTTAAAAAACATTTTTTTTTCTTACTCTCATATTAACGAATAGGATAAATCTAAGCATCTTTTACCAAACTGTTTCTCAAGGGTTGGAACTAGATTTTTTTCTTTTGGGGACAAGCTTAATTTTGCTACCATTTATTTCACCTCCCCTTTAAAATATAACAGTTTTGTGGTAGTATTTAAAATTACATATTTTACATACATATTTAGAAATAAATATGTGTCTTCATTTATAAATATATGTGTAAATATATAAATATGTGTCACATAATTGTCTGACCAAAGATGAAAACAATCAAAAAGCAGAAACAATTTTTTGTTTTAATTTAAATCAAAAATAAAATTTGTCACAGCAAATTCATCCTCTGAATTGTGCCATACAAGGCAAGTGCCTCCTATGCCCAAGTTCAGGCCATAAGTTATCCTTTTTTCACTTAGTTTCAAAAAAGCTGTTTCTATTCCCCTTTGCAGGAATAGATACAACTAAGCTTAGTAGATATTAATCAACCAAAAGTCAACTAAGTTGAGATGTTAAAATAGCTAATCATTTCCTCTTAAGTGGTGTCTTTAATTATTGTCTAATAAAAATTATATTAAAATAACCATGGCCTTGTCTCTCTTAAACAATGCTAAGCCATTAGCTTAATTGTTAACAATTTTTCATTCATATTATTTTTGTTAAAAATAATATATTTATGTGTCTAATTTGTCATTTGAATAATTTTTTTTAACCTATATAATTTCTATGGCTAAATTAGTTTTAAATTGAAAATACTGTAATTGAAATAATTATAACTATTATACATTTTTTTATACTAAATTATTATGTAACAGTTTTTTTTTGTAAATTAAGTACTGACTAGTTCCTATAGTAACTAAGTTTATGGTATTCTAATCGACATATTATCACTAAATATGTTAGTAGTCCAGAAGTAGACGTTTTCTATAGATTGATACATGATTGAATTATTAAAGTATTGCAAGATGCAATTGCAAGTTGATGTTTAAAAATTTGCATATTGACTTTGTGTGCATTATAAATTGCAAAATTTTACCTTGTTTTTTCTATTTTTATGAAATTTAATAATTCAATCAATTATTAATGATGACCAGTGATACACATTTCTAAAAATTATTTATTTCTGAATGATCGCTACCTACTGTACTCTCAAGTCTATAAAAAAATTTACCTTCATACTATAGCCCTGGTAGAGTTTTTGATGCCACAAATTTTGATTTCAATGCTTCTATTAATTTCAAATTATAACCATTGTACAAACCATTTTTTTTCATTAAGGTTGTGATATAAAGTATTTAAATTCTAATCATTTTTAGAAAATATTTAGATTATTAATTAAATCAGTAAAAGGTATGTGCTGTAATTGGGTTTGTTATGATATTTTCATTAGGCAAATAATAAGTTAACTTTATGTAATATTTTTATTTCATTTTATGCCGCTTTCATTCCTTATCTTTTTGGGATGAGCTAGACAATGAATAATTACTGCATCTATTACTGGATAATTGGCTACAAAGTGGTATCTCTTATTTGCAAACTGACTATCATACATATGCAACAAAATCTGTTTTAAACATATTTGAAAATCTTAAAATGGTTTAAGTTTTGTTAATTTTAATGACTATCACTAATATTTTATAGTTTCCCAACTGTTCTCAATTAGTGATAAAACAAGTTATCACCAGAAAAGTTGATTATTCATAAAAAATCTAGATGCTAAAAAATTCTAATTTTTACACATTTTGAGGTCTGCCAATCAATTGAATGTTGAATCACGATATTAATGACATTGGAAGATGGAATTTGCTTTTTTGACAATTGCCAGGAAACATAAAGCCATGGGTATTTTTTTATTTTATCGAGTTTTTATGGTAAAAAGGTTCATACTTTTCACAGCTGGCAACTTCTATAATGTGGGTATAATACCATCTTTCGTATTGATCGTCTTTATTACTGTGGTCCTCTCTACATGGATGTCATAAAGTTGTAGAAAAGTAAGAATATAAAATTAAGATTAAACCTTAAATCTTTTATTGAAATAGTAGAAGAAATTAAAGGCTATAATCAATCAATCAATGGTGTTAATAATTAATAATAATTGTTATCAAAGTTATCAATAACCTATCCAATTTTATTTATTTATGATTTTTAAAATGGTTGAAAACATGGAAATCAGTATTTGTGACATCAAGATTATAGTGATGCACTTTACCTTGATTCTGTCATTCTTTGAATAATTGTTTGGTGAACTCAATTGTTTGATTTGAAACATGATTGTGATGTTGACATAATGGTTTCAGTTGTGAAATGTTTTGAATCAACAGCTTAACCATTGGTAACCATTGTTAATAATTTAACCAAAAAAAGGATTAGATATTCGTGATGTAGTCCACACACTTTAAGTTCATATTCTTATTGGTGGATCGTTCTGTTTAAAATCTAGTTAGGATAAACGTTGGGTCAATGAAGTATACCACTTTGATTTTTGTTTTTTCCATGAAGTAGTAGTACATACTCCTGGACCTCGCCACCAAGCGTTAATGTCTCGGTATGACTTAGCTGGGAAACGATCATGAAGAAGTGCACACAATCTACAGAAAAAGTGGGTATTGATGAATTCTCCAGTGCCTTTCCACCTGAAATAAATAAAAACTCCAGAGACTTAGAAGTTTAATATCATATGAAGTTCTATCCAACAAAGTAACTGTGAATGATTTTTTAAAAGAAAATATATTATAAATATACATCATACCTAAAATAGCTGTTATAAAGATCATCATCTTTGTCGATGGTGTGTAGGTAATCTGCTAATGCTTTGGGTGAATCAAATTCATCAACATGTATAAATGACCTTAATGGAGCTGATCGTTCATATTCTTCTTGCCTTGCGCCCATTACAATAGGAATGACATTGCTTCTGTGGATCAAAAATTGGATTTCTTAAAATTGAATTTATAATATGTATTAATGAAATGAATGATCAAGACCAGGACTTTAAGGTGCAGACAGAGAAAGAAGAAATTTATAAGAAACGCATACCCTACTTAAAAGAAAAATATAGGGATGAATTTGGAGAGAGAAACTTTTCAAGTAAAGAGCTGTGGTTCAGAGAAGGAGGTGAACCATCCCTCATACTACAAGTGATTTCTAGCAGAAGTTCAAAAAGGGAGCAGTTGAAGATAACAGCAGAGACTATTGTTTTGGACTTGGGGATCCTCCATCACCATATATATACATAGCTTTGCCTTCGCTTGTTCATTTATATAAACCGTTTTTTTAATATATCGCTATTGTTAGTGCAAAAGAAGAAGAAAGAAGATAAAACAGAAGAACTATATATGTGCATATCTAGTAGTAGTGTGTTATTAAGTATTCATGCCTAAAACACACCATTGCAAACACCCGTATTGCCATTGTGGCATGGGAGGGTGGAAATAAATAAATAAATAAGTGCAAAAGGTTGTATATAAAAATTGAGTGTTTTACAAGAGAGCAAGGAAACTGATGATTTTAGTATAACTTATTTCCCTCGGGTATTTTCCATAGTAGTAGTTTACTTATATGAGGAATTGATCGGTGGAAGGGGGGGAGGTGAGGGTGCGGTCAAATTAATAATAAATTAAACAAGTAGAATTATTTAATTTTTGCCGACGTTTCGACCCACTTTGCAGGTCTTCATCAGGGCGTAGGATGTAGCACAGCGGGAGGCAGTTGAAACACTGGCAGTCACTTCTGTCAGTCACTTCAGTCACTCATTTCTGTCTCTTCTCAGTTTTCTCTTCAAAGTTTCTCTTCTCAGTCATTTCTGTCACTTTAGTCAGTCACTGCAGTCACTTCTGGCAGTCTACTTATAGTATTTGGAGAATGAAAAATAATCAGTTTTTATTCTCTCCTGTAGAATACTCAATTTTTATATACGATCTTTTAAACTAAAAGTAGTGATATTTACTATGGTCAAATGGTCCCAAGTAACTCTTTTGTTCTGGTTTTGAATAATGTCTCTTGGACTGACGAGTATACTGTGTGATTTAGCAACTCAACATAGTTTAACAAACATGCAATATTATTGCAGTTCTCTCTTTTATTACAATTTATGCCTTTGTATGAACTGATTTAAGAAAAAAGATATTTTAGTTTACAATAAATAATAAACATAATAACCTAGGGTGCTAGGCCTTATAAGTTATAAATGGCTTATCTTCAGAACCTTTGCAAGATTTCAATTATACTATTCAAAATTTAAATTACTATTTATTGGAACCATGTGAAGAATTAAACTTTTAATATATTTTTTAAAACTTATACTGTTTTAACCAATGAAAGACTAATTAATAAAAAATCAATATAAATTTTAAAAAATTTCATTTTTCAACTTATACTCTTGAAGCTTGATATTTATGTTCCATATATATTTACGTTCCATTTGAGGTTAGTTAAAACTTATTGAGTCATTTTATAAAACAGACAATTATCTGAACTTTATATTAAATTATAACAATTAATCTGGGCTTTGTTTATAGATTTCATATCTCTTTTAAACTTGACTTTTACTCTGTCAATCCAAACACAGAACCAAAAATATGAAAAAAAGTAATATACGACATATGTACAAAGTTTAAAATTATTTTTGTGTTAAATCACTTAAGGCAAAAACAATGAACCTCATTGATCTGTGTGACTAAAAGATTGCTAATATATTTTTTCCGATTGTTGAAACCAAAGAAAATCCCAAATTCTAGATCTCTTAAAATTGGATTGACAATATATTGTTTAAATACAAAGGCAATGGCAAAAGTATTTTGGCAGAAAACATGGTTCACATATAAACTTACCCTAATCCGTTAACAAAAAATTTTTCTGTTATGTAATCTTGACAATTTGAATTCTCAAAAGCTAAATAAAACTTGTAATCAGTATTCAGCATATCAAAGCATTTTTCTTGTTTTGACCTACAACAAAATTACATAAATTTGAGAAATATTTAGTTAATTAAATTATATAAGTGTCAAAAAAATTATATATTAGATAATGTTTTTATGTTTGGGCTCATTTTTTTCAAATAAAATTCACTTATTTCTATGCCTGTAAAATTTTTAAACTAAGATTTTGCTAGGCAGAGAAGTCCATCTTATTAAAAAAAAGAATGATATTTCAAGTAAAAATTGCAATATGCACATGCGGAAATCAAGTAATGTAATCAATTTGTAAAAAATTCTAAAAGTTCCTTTTTAAGATTTTTATTTGAGTAAGATCTTTTGGTAAAGTTGTCTACAGCTGTTGGCTTAGGTATCTTTTGAATCGACAATCTACATTGTAAGATTATACTCGTATACCTGTGGTTCATAAGTGGAATCTGGTTCAAATTAATTTTTGCTGGGTAGGTACATTCTTACTGTACGGGAGTCTTTCTCGATGTTGAACAGGCGTTTGATAGAGTTTGGCACCCGGGACTGCTGTACAAACTCCGAAAATTCCTACCACCTACATACTTCCTCATTATCCGTTCCTACCTTACTGATAGATACTTTAAAGTAAATCACAATAACGCCTATTCATCCCTTTTTCCAGTCTGCTGGTGTTCCTCAAGGTAGTATCCTAGGTCCTATCCTCTATACAGTTTATACAGCTGACATCCCTACCTGTCCCAACACTGTCATCACCACATATGCCGATGACACATGTATCCTATCAGTAAACAATGACCCAGCAATTGCATCCCAAATGCTTCAATCACACATCATAAATCTAGAAGAATGGTGTCAAAACTGGAGAATTAAAATAAACTCCAATAAATCCCACCAAATTACCTTTACCCTTCGTCGTAAACCAACGACTTCCTGTCCTACAGTTTCCTTTAACAATACTCCACTTATCCCTGTTGAGCAAATCCGATACCTAGGACTCCACCTGGACAAACGACTAACTTGGAATCCTCATACTAGACTGAAACGACAAGAAACCGCTCGACGTTTCCGATTACTTCAGCACTTACTAGACAAACGCTCTAAACTTCCCATTAATTACAAAAGACTCATATACTTGACTATAATAAGACCTATTTGGACTTACGGAGTTAAGCTATGGGGCTCCACTAAACCATCGAATTCCTCTCGCATCCAATCCTTATAATCCAAAATCCTTCGTAAAATCCTCAATGCTCCTTACTTTGTCACTAATAAAATTATCCATAAAGATCTTAATGTTCCTTATGTTTCAGATCTGGCCCAATCCAGATACCTATCCTTCCATAATAAACTTCAGAATCATCCCAACCCTCTCGTTTCTAACCTTGCTTCCTCTTCAATTCCTGATAACCCTCCGAGGCGTCTGAAAAGAAGATGGCCCCTTGATCTCCTAATGTAGTCATATCATTAGAGTGCTACCATTGGGTAGTTACTCAGCAAGTGTATTCATGTCATTATATCAATTATGTCCAAATTTACTTGATCTATTTATGTAATACTGTTGTAAATGTCATAAAGAAATAAAAAAAAAAAAAAAAAAAAAAAAAGGTACATTCTTAATGTGAGGAAGGGGATGAGCCACATTATTCGCAAATTTTTCAATTTTAATCTACCCTGTAACTTTCTGTGGTCATCATTATCATATTTTCTAACTATGTCCCAATCTTTAAAATTATCCAAACTTTACATAATTTTTTTTGACTTATTACATATATCTGTTATAACACCTTATCCCTCACCAGATAGTGTCAACTATATGCCTTAAAATTTTTCTTTCTGTAGGTTAAGCCACATGAGGACTCAATATTGCATATTTTTGTTGCAGGGTTGAATAAATTCTGTCACTGCGATTCCCAACCTCAAAAATTAAGGTATTTAGATCATGGTTATTATGAATTTTTAATGTAATGAATTATTTTTTATGTTCAGAGTTGAATGTCATTTTTTTCAACCATAATTAATTTTGTAATTATTATTTTATTTGAGTATTCAGATGGTACATAATTTATTTTTAGTCTTTTTACCTTATTTTTTTTACATTGGAAATTATTCGATTCAAATAGAAAATTGTATGGTTGTGTAATATTCTGTAGAAGCTCAGAATAAATATGAGGTTGCTAATTCGCCCGAGTATTACTGCTTTATTTTTTATGATTATGTAGCAATTACTTATAGGCATGCTTATATTGCTTATTGCGGTTCCCTAAATTATAACTCTACTGCTAAATTTTTTTTTTTTTAAAGGTTTACTATATACCTTGGACATTTTTTTGCTCCACATGCTCCATAAATATCTACTTCAATATGTTTTTGCAATTCATGAGCATACTGAAGTCTGCTATTCCTGGCCCCACAGTTTGATACAAACCAAGCAACCTATAATAAAGTCAAGATGGATATAATTCGATTGATAATATATAAAGTTTAATCATCACTTATTAATATTCAAAATAATTATAAATAATCAAATTACTTTTTATTTCATTTAAGAAAATAAATAATAATACGTAAACATACTGATTTTATAGTTTTTATTTAATACAAAAGTAGGCTAATTATGAATTAAATTTGCAAATAAATTATTTTTCATAAAAATAAAACAAATTTATAAATATAACTAATTACTAATTGTTATAATTTAATTATCTGATATAGCAAATTTGGCTAAAAAACAAGATATTCACCTTTTTAGTTTTATTTAATGCATAATTCCTTGTCATAGTTAAAAATTTCACATCTTTGTCAAAATACACCCACTTTTCATATGGTGTTACAATGTCTGAATCCCTTCTGTATGTTGCAGTCCAATTAAAGACATCATTTTGTTTTATGTGCTGAGTATGATAAGGACACTCAAGCATGTAAAGTATCCATACCTAAAAATAATGATAATAATAATAATGTGGTAAAAGTAATTCAAGTATTTCATTATTTATATATTCCACCTTCCCATGCCACTATGGCAATACGGGTGGTTGCAATAGTGTGTTACATGAATACTTAATAACACACTACCACTAGTTAACATGAGCAAGGATGTGCATACATCTAGCAGTTCTTCTGTTCTATCTTCTTCTTGTTTCGGCCTAACTTCCAGAATCTGGAGGTCTTCCTGGTGCTTGTCTTCTTCTTCTGCGGACACCACCATTGTCTTCTATCCATTTATGAAATCCTTAAACGGCGGGAAATTTTCCTCGCTGACTAACTGAGGAAACTCATTTTCACTGAGGACATAGATTTCCGCAGCTCTTGTCATAGTCGCTCTTAATGTTTCAAATGCGGTACAGGTCGTGACCAGGTGCTCTACAGTTTCTGGAACACTACAGGTTGGGCATAGATGATCTTCATCAATGCCCAGATCGTGAAGTTTAGCTTGAAATCCTCCATGCCCAGTGAGGAACAGTTTAGCTAGAAATACTCCATGCCCAGTAAGGAACTGGGAAATCCAGTAGTCTGGGAAGACCCACTTTGCCTGAAGCCTCGACTGTACCGTGGGAAAATACTTCCTCAATGTACTTCCCTTAGGGATTGCTACCCACTGCCAGTTCCATGCTTCAATTGTGTCCTCCCGGAGTATCTTCTATTAAAGTATCTTCTATTAGGCGCTTCCATAATCCTCACCTGCAGATTGTCCGAAAGTACTGTAGAACCTTCTATCTTATAAAAATATTTCGTCACTTCTTCTAGCAGGAGGAGGTCGAGAGGCACCACCCCTGCTAGAACCTACACCACTTCATGAGAAGTTGTCCTGTATGCTCTGGTGACCCGAAGCAGAGCTGTCCTCTGATTTGGCGGTAGCCTTTTTTTTTCTTGTATGTGTGAGATTCCGGAACCAGTAATATAATTATTTATAGTAATATAATCGACATGATTGGCTAACCACAAAGGATTCCAGATTGAATTTAATTCAAACTTTAATTTGTTTTTACTTGTTGAAGCTCCTCAAAGTGGAAAAATATATTTTTTTCATTGGATGGTATTTGTTTATGGTATTATGTGTGTCCCTCAGGGACCACTTTTACCGATCTTGGACTACAATATAAAACCTCTACAATATAAAAATAAATGAGATGTCTCTAACCTGGAGTAGTCAGCAAGAAGTTTAAAACTTTATTCAATTGAGCATATGTGCGATTTTATAGGAGAAACTTCCTTAAGATTATTATTTTAAGAATAGTTTGAATGCGAGTTTCTCCTACTGCTATGCATGAAATACTTAAGGACGAGTGAGGCAACATCTTCAAAATATTATTAAAAACGTTTTATGAGTATGCCAGAAAGGATGGAAGAAGTTACCAGTGCTAGATGAGGCATTTTTTTTTATTAAATGGCATTAAGAGATTATAAAAATTTAATTTTGCTAAATGAAATTTTTAATTAATTTTAAAATTAGGATTACGTATGAAATAAATATCTTGGCATGTATTTAATTTATGAAGAAATGGTAGGTAAATATTGGAGAAATCAATAGAGTTTAAACTAGATTTAAATTTAGTGGTTTCTTACTTTTATTAATAGTTGAGAGAATATTGAAGTGGAAGTAATTCTGTAGAGATAAAGTTAGGATAAAATAGGGTAACCATTAGAATCGAGTGATTGTATGATAGTGGAAGGATTTTTTAAAATAAATAGTTTTTTAAACATTACCTGTCCTCTTGGCCTGACAATTCCTGGATTTGAGAAATGCTCATTGAAAAGTATAGCATCTGCTTTAACTGCTTCCCCTTTGTTAGCCGTCAACATGCAGTCTTTGACAGGGCAGGAGGAGAAGGCACTAGGTCCGGCTTTGACGTTTGACCAGGTTCGAAATCCATTATAAACAAGAATTAATTTGGTTCTCTTTGTCTCAGGGGCATATAAAAGCTGCTCCTCTGTGAACAAATACAATTTTGATTGGACTAGAATATATTACATTTTTTTGTTTGTGTACTGTTGTCACAAATCAATTTAATTTATACTGCTTTTTTTTTTATATACTTATTGTTTCTATATTATTGAAATGAACATACAAATTGAAGTTGATGCTTTCAATATTTAGCTTAAGATGAATTGTTTATCTGTTAAAAACTGCAACACTTCTAAGGGATTTAACCAAAAATATATCTAATTATATTTTAATCAGAATTAAATGATTTGTTTATCCTACATTATTTTAAGCTTTAATATTATTGGTGTATAATGGCTATTTATTTAAAGAACAAAGAAATATACATTTAGGCAACGTATTTTAATTCATTAATCCAAAATAAATATATTTTTTCAATAATTTAAGTGAAACTTTCTGCTAAATAATGATATATCTTACAATAAAGTAACAAATTCTTAATTAAAATGTTGAACATAGGAAATATTTAAGGTAATAATTTTTTATTATGATTAACATATAGGTATCGCAGGAGTATGAATTAATGAAAATTGGAGTATGAATGAAAATTAATTAGGATCATTATTTTTTAAGTTAGGATTATTATTATTTCCATTATTGTGCAGTAGTCATAGTTCATGATAATAATTTTATAGAATCTAAATATATTCACTATTAAAAATCTATTTTTAAAGCTATCAAAAATACATTTTCAAATATTTACCTAAATTTCATAAACAACTAAAAAGCAATAAGTTGAATTCTCAGAGGAATAATTACAGTAATTTTTTAATGTATTAGAGGTTGAATAATCACTTTTATGGAAAAATAATTTAAAGAGTAATAGACAATGATTTTAATGAAACGTTATTTAATTTTGATATAGTATAATTATTTTAATGATACAGCTTCTAGATTAAATTGATTTAACATTTAAACACTTACCTATTCTATCAGAGGCAGGGTTCTCACCAGGAAAGAGCTTAGTTCGTTCTGGTGAAGTGCCATCTGAACCTGCAGTCATGTACCACGGCCGGCCCTTATCAGTCATGTACCAAGGCCGGCCTTTAGGAAATGTCACCTCTTTCTGAAAGGAAATAATAGCAATTAACAGTAGTTAACCTTAATCGATTGAGTAATCAGTTTATTTCTTCAGCTTTTCTCCTTGATGCAGAACCTGAGTTATGTACCCTCTGGTTTTCAGAGCCAATTACATGACAGGCATGTATGTAATGTGTTTTACATTTGGCAAGTATGCATAGCCATGTTAGATATTTTCTGGCCCACTTTTGAAACAGTTAGCCAATTATTTGTTGGCCATTTTTAAGATACCCTGGAGGATGACCAATATATTTATGAGGAGCCTAAGTCCCATTAGGCAGGTGTAACCAGGCCTCGTGCTCATGTATATGTAAAAAAAAAGTATTAAAATTAAGTTGCACAGTATAAAAATAAAGGTTTTTGCCTTTGTATGTATTGTACTTGTGTCATAAGCAAGACCCGGATTTTTATGCAATTGCATATTTTGTTTGCTCTATTTTTTTTAACCGCTGATCAAGTATCTATAAGAATTAGTATACTGTGGTGCAATTAGCCAAATTTTATTTTGCATATTTGAGGATAAATGTATATAATTGCATATTTGAAGATGAAAGCATATGATTGTATATTTTGATTAATTTAATGAAATAAACAAAATATATATATGTAAATGAATATTTATTTATTTATATATACAAATTAAAATGCAATATGAAGGTGCTATTCACGATTACAATCGTAAGTTTATTTTCAATGAACAATATCTACTACATTTGTAGACTGTATACCTATACCATCCGCTATACCCTTCAATAATTATCTTTATAGATGTTCTCAAATTCCTAGAAATCCATTTCCCCTTCTTCTCCCAAGTAAACATCATACTAAATTTTTATTTTAGATTTTTGCCTATGATTTTAGCAAGAGAGGATATTTCTGTCCATTTAAAATGCCTAAAGTATTTTCATCAATGTTGAAATCTTGAATTGAACCTTAAAACAACAGACATGAAATAGTTTTACAAATGATGGAAAACTAGTGAAAATTTCTATTTTATGTTATTTATTCCACAATTTGTTAATTATTTTATTGTTTCAACAAAGACCCATGTTAGATTTTTATACATTTGCATACAAAATTTTAAAGCATTTACATATTAATTGTCCAATATTTGTTAACTTTCATTACTACACCTATTTAATCATGTGTTAAGACAATTATAGTTTTTTTTGCTTGTGTACACTTAGATATTTAATTTTTTAATGTGATTTTCGTTACCATCATAATGTATATATTTATATATGTATGTATTCGTTACCATTATGTATATATTCAAATTATAAACTTATTAGCCATATATGTTTTGTTATTTTCTTTCTTGTGTTTAGATGTAAAAAACAAAACAAAAAAAAACATTATTCTAATTTTCAGCCCCTCTATAATTTCTTTTCGTTTCAAAACTTTTTGTAGGCATGTCATTATATTTAATACTTTATTAATAATTCACTAATTAGTGAATTTTGTATAGCAAGATCAGTTACTGCATTTTTCAAGATTTTTAGTGCATATTTCAGGGTTTTTACTGCATGTTTTATGACACATTTTGTGTATTTTTACTGCATACAAATCCGGGACTTGGTCATGAGAAATAAATAATCAAAAAGACAGATTTCCTTTTACAGCGTGAATATTCTCCTAGCTTAGTTCCAATAAAAACTACAAACTTTTTCAAAATAATTACCAATCATTGGTTCTCACCGGCTTTGGCTGATCGACGGTGGGGCGCAGAAGGAGCAGTGCCTGCTGCTGAGTAGGTGGTTCCGTCGTCGGGAAGACAAGCCTCTTGGAGGACGGCCATAGCGCGAAGGCAGCCAGGAGGCCGAGGAGGGGAAGGAGACAGAGGATGGCCCTCCGCACTGAGACTCGGGGCATGACATAGCCGGAACCTCGGGGCACGATCTGAAACATGTCATAATCCTCAATATATAAGATCTAGAACAATTCTTAATATAATGAATAAATATTCATAATATTCATCATGCTTAAACAGACATTAAATATAGTTTTATGGTTTCGTTTTCTTTAGAATACGTAGAAAATTTATATCGAAAGAATGAGAATGTTTTACTTAGGAATATTGCGAAGGTGCAAGAACTGTCAAGTTCGTGGTGCCATATATAGAAGAAGCAACATCAATGCAGATCCACTAACGAGGACTACACCCCTAGAAGCAAATCAGAACCCCATACAATAAATGAACGACAGTATATTACTCCTCTTTTTAATTACTGCAATAGTTACTGAGCAAACGCTCCGAACGTTTCTTTGAAAAAATTCTTTGACATGAACGTAATCAGGCCTATTAGGTTGAGTATGGCTTTTGTATCCTCACGTATCCAATCCCTTCAATTTAAATGTCAGAAATTGATTGAATCATCTGGTATGTTAATGTTTAAGTACATAATTAGTTTTTAGAAGGGATTTACAACATCCTATCAATCATTACTTCGACTCCGTTCGTTCATTTAATAGAAGAAAAATATAAGTATTCAATAAAACATTGTTTTTGAATAGCCTCTGCTAATAGATGATATTATGGACTTCATCGACAACTGGAGAGCAGTTTGCTTTCAAAAGCTACGAAAATAAGGATATGTTAGTCTCTAATCAGCACAGCGCTTTTTTTAGATTATCCGGACCTGAATCTTGGAATTTTTTTAAAAAAGAGATGAACGGGACCTGTTCATATTTGAAAGAGATTCTTCGATGTATTTATGGTCCACTAAGTGAGAAAATATGGGTGACGTGGCTATTGTTGGGATGTCTCTGAACTAGAGTTAATTGATTAAGGATACCGTTAGAAAGCTTGAAAGTGAGGACAGGAGAATAAGGCTGGAAATCAATGAAGAGAAAACTATGATAATGTTTCTCAGAAGAAACAAGCCAGTCCATCCCCAAAGAAATGACATCATGGGAAACCACAGTTTAGAAGTAGTAAGCAGTTTCAATTACATGTAATCTATAATTAATTAGCAACTGGACGAAGAAGAAGAAGTGAAGGATAGGATTATGCTAGGGATCAGAGCGTATTTCAGCATGGCCAAGATACTGAGGAGTAGGCTGAGCAGTATTACCGCTGGGTTCAGGATGTACAAAACAGTAATAAAACGGGTGGTAACCTACCATAGTGAAGGATTGAGAGAAGGATACATCCTGGGACCAATTTGTTAATATGGAATTTGGTATAGAATTAGGAAAAATAGGGATCTGTATGATAAATATAATAATGAATGGATATTTCAGTGAGCATTAGAATCCAGATATTCCAGTGGTTTGGTAATTTAATGAGAATGTACTAAAACAGGATACCAAAAAGGCTTTTTGACGGTTCGCCAGAAGTAAGGAGAAATAGAGGAAGACTGGGTGGGAGGAAGGGTGGCTGAAGGGATAGTGTACTCCACTACATACGACAGCTGAAAGTGAAAAAAGTCCATTATGTAGGATGTGGAAGGCAGAGGTTGGAAAAGTCAAGGACTGCTATATGCGTCTGTTGAGCTAAGCAAAGAAGAAGAGAGAAATCATGGAGAAGTTGTTCAACATTACACGCTTCGATGGCGGGCTATTTGTCCGTCTTAGGATGGATGCCCAAGATATTTTAAGAAAACTGCTAAATGAGGAACTGCATGAAACTCGAATTGCGACGGGTTGATGGTATGTAATTTAATTCGAGAAACCTGCCAGGTGTCCAAAGCTGGAAAATAAGTGCACTTTTTCGAATGAAGAAAGCTACTCGAGGAGGCCAAGACCTATTAGTGTATCCAGTAGTTTCAATAGGTCGTGATGAAAACATCATTTTTACTTTGTAATTCAGAATAGAATAAGATTTTATATATTGATCAAAGTATTGGAATTATTAATATTTTTGTACTTTAAAGTGTACTGAAATAAAAAACTATTCCTACAATGAGTAATGGGTTTATACCTACATAATTATCTTTGTTAGTTTAGGTTAAAACCTATGAAATTAGCCGTAAACGAGTATAATCACGTATGTAGGAGACTAAAAGATTCGGCCTCATATGAGCCAAAAACCGAAAGAAGAGGAGTAAAAGGTCGCCTGCCCCCATCCTGAAGGTAGAAGCGATGTGCACTTGGGAATGGCGGGTGGTTACAATGTTTGACACCGAATACAAGAGGTCGCGAGTACTATCGATGTCAACCGAGCTCTTGGCGAGGGGAGGGAGAGGGGGAATACTCGTCAGTTGAATTATTTTAACGAGTATAGGGACCCCAACCTGCTATATTCCATTCCTCTTCGTAGCGGGGCTCCTCTTTGGTGACTCGGATTGGTAAATTACCTTTTGTAAATTACGTAATTCCATTTCCTCCGGTTGAATCGTCTTTCCAGTAACACTTTCTAGTTCGGACAAGTCTTAGGTACGAGATTTCATCTCCTCTAGGTTGGATTTTAGTATCGTTGCTCATTTCACCAAAGATGAGTTTAGTGAATTTGTGTACTTCGACTGTTCAAGGGATTCCAGCAGTATTGATCTTACATTTTTTACCGATAAAATCTAAATAAAAATCTAAACTGATTTGAAACTGGAATTAATGCTTGTTGATTTAACTAACAATACAATTCAACACCAAGTTCAAGATTTTACAGTAGCCTCCCATACATATAGTCGAAAAATACTTACATATGAACCTCTCAGTTGGCGGAACGACTATTTCCAGTTTCAACATTTTTGAGTATAGTCATTTTAGTGATATTTCTAGTTTAAAAAATTATAATATCTGTACTTGAGTAAGTTGATTTCAGAGATGGTATTCGCAGTGTTGAAATATAGAACTGTGAATAAAGGTATAAACATTCCCACTAGAAATATCATTACAATTATAAATCAAAACTATCGCAATTGGAGTTAGTCATTAAGTCAAATGAAAGACTCATATATTCTTTGTTGTTCCTATTATAGTAGGAGGATGTGATGGCCAAGCATATTTGGACGAGGGTAACAGAGTGTCCGGTTCTGAATATTAGTTTGGTTCCCACCTGAATCAGTTGATATTTATTTTTTATGGCCCCGATAAATGAATTTTGACACGCTGGTTAATACTCTACTACAATCTCAAGTTTTCCTTACGGTTTGGCAAAAGGGAACAAAAAGCCCACCTCCCGGACTAGTTCCCTTCAACAGTACCAGTAATAGTACCTACCTATTATAGTTAGTTATTAGGTTTATAACAAAAGGCATGTAAATTATGAATAGTTTAAATTAATAGTTCCTTAATATGGTAAATAACAATTATATTGTTGTTGGAATAATTTATAATGAAGGGAATGGCGTAAAGTTCATGTCGAAGATAGAAAAAAAGCTATGACAAAAAATTGACTACGAAGAAAGGCCTGTTAAAAGTTTTAACAAGTCTGTAAAAAAACAAAACAAACACTTATTACACTGGAATGAGATTAATTGATATGTTGACGGTTTTCTGACTGTCCAAGGCTCTGGGATATGGAACATTGGCAAGCCTCCAGAGTTGTGGTTTTTAACTTTAACATTGATAAGTACTTCCGTCCGCAATATATATATATATATATATATATATATATATATATATATATATATATATATATATATATATATATATATATATATATATATATGCTTATAGTTATATAAAATTAGTATAGTTTTGTTAACATTTTGAATTTTCTTGGTTGTTAACATCGCATTAACTCGTGATCCAATTGTTATCCTTCTATACACAGAATTAATAAGGGAATGAATCACTTTACTTAATCATGTAAAGAACTACAAACCAAAGCTCTTGTGTACCGAACCAGTTGGTTTCAACGAGTACGATATGATGATGAAGCATAGCTAATTACTTGTTAAGTAAAATGTTACTTTATTCCATCATGATCATTATAAAATATGCAGCTTCACCAATTGCGTATGTTAAATAGACACCAGTAATCACATTTCTGGATAAAAATTGAAAATAACACGGACCGTCTGATTAACTATTTCTCTTTTTTTTAAATCTTTCTCAGTAGCGTTTAGATTATAAATTCTAAAAAAAAAATAGTTCTATTCATACTCTATTCATACAAAATTGTATCATATAGCCTATAACATATAAGATCTTGCGATGTATCAATGTGGGAAATAAACCGGTCAGATTACGATATGTGCTATATGTAGCAAGATCTTGATACTTCCTTATATCTGAAACTTACGATACTGACATTCTCCGAACGCTTGGCATGAAGACAAATATCGTAGTAAAAATTTGTTCCGATTTGTAAGGATTATTCGAAACATCCCTACTATCTGTTGTTTCTAAATTTTCAGCATTTGTTAAAAATGTCATTGTAAGATTAACGAGGGATGCCCATCTCCTCAAGGTCGATGGCGCATGAACCTTACCCTTCCTTCCAAGATATTTTATTTCTCTCCTCTTCTTATTAACAGTGCAAGCTGAAGTAAGTTATACAAATCATAGCTCATACAGAATCATACTTTCAGTGGTCTGCTTTATCCTTTCCTCTTGTCACCTGGTTTAAAACTTTTTATTCCGAAAATTTATAATCCTGTTGATATGTGCCTCCTAAAAAATAGCGTAACTTGCGCCATGAAATCCTCTTCTGGGCACCTCTGCTTCTGACTACCGAATCCAAATTTGGGTTCATCTGCCGGCAAATAACCTATTTTTTTTATATAGATCGTAATTTTACTCTACTCCTTGGGCCAATTTAGACTATTAAAAAGGGTACCTGCCACTGCATTAGTTGTGGGGATGAATTAGCTAAGGGTAGATTGTAACTACATCTTTCTATAACGGTTGGTCAAGAAAAAGCATTTTCTCATTAAGTACTGAACCTAATACCATTCATGGGCGGCGAGGGGAGGGGGACAAACGAGCTAACGTGTGTGCACAGTATTGCGCGTTGCCTGGCAACCTGATAACCAAAGTTGGAGACAATAAAATTAAGAGTTCCGGTGCCATGGTGGT